CCTGCCAGCCTGCCTGCCTGCCTCCCTGCTAGCCTGCCTGCCTCCCTGCCAGCCTGCATGCCTGCCTGCCTACCTCCCTGCCAGCCTGCATGCCTGCATGCCTGCCAGCCTCCATGCCTGCCTGCCTGCCTGCCTGCTTCCATGTCTGCCTGCCTGCCTGTCCGCCTGCCTGCATGCCTGTCTGCATAATCTGCTTAGCTACACTTGCCTCATACAGACAGGAGGGTTAGAAACCTAGTTAAGAGACGGTTTATGGTGCATACTAGACCCATTGATTATGCAATGTTGACAAATGCTAGAGTAACTGGCACCTTGTGTAGTTAATAAGTACATAACCTTACATCCAAACGCGTATTAGTTTGCCCAATATCACTGTTGGTTACTAAGAAATGTCTGATTGAAATCCACAGTCCAAGAAATAAGTTGTTTAAAGTTTCAAACCGCTGCCGGCGAAGCGGGTGTAATACAGATTTATAGTGCACCGGACATTTTCGCACGTATGCTCGGCCGTACGCAATGCAATGCATCAGTGATATCAATGAATATCAACAACCGATTTCAAGTCTTGCTTGTAATGTAACCAGCAGTGATATTGTACAAACTACAATGCGTTTGGCTATAAGGTTATGTACTTATTAACTACACAAGGTGCCAGTTACTCTAGCATTCGTCAACATTGCATAATCAATGGGCCTATTATTCCTTTAAGGAAGGCTGCACACAGTAAGGGGCAGCAGTAAACAGCGCTAAAAAGATCGTTACGATGTGTGAGAAGGAGGAGGGGGATAAACGTTGGGACATAGTTTTTTGAAACGTTGTAGGGAAAGGATGATTGGAACGTAGAAATTAAAGTAGAGGACGTTTAGCAGGGAGATACTGGGGCAGAGATGCGGAGGCTGAGGGATGCGGAATCCGGACGAGTGCTTCTGTGCATGCGCTGGTACGGGGGCCATCGTTGCTAGCCGCGCAGCACGTGGTCAGATGTGTGGATACGTCGTCAGCCACACAACCAGATTACACGTGTACTTACCTAAGCGTACGCGATAGAATTCTGTTCGTGATACGGAGGTTGCGTAAGGTAAGCGACCCCAGCCGACGACAAGATCACGTGGTCGTGCCAGGCGAGATCCAGGTGTAGTCACTGACGTCACGGCATGAAATGATGACGCTGTACGCACCGTGAACTAACGGCGTGTGAACGTCTAGGTCATTGCATCGGCTGCTGTCATATGGACTGCCACGTCTTATGGACATTCGGAATAAAACACAACGAAAGTTGACTCTCTCTCTCTCTCTCTCTCTCTCTCTCTCTCTCTCTATATATATATATATGGCCTATATAACGAGCCAGTTCTAGACGGGTACCAGTCTAAAGTCC